TTCCAGCAAACAGCTAAAACATTTCAACATCTTTATGTAAACGGAGTTTTATTAAAATACAACCAATTAGTTTGTGGCTGTTTTTGCACACTTGGCAGAGACAGGAGATGCAGGAGAGAGCAGGTGCGTGCACAGTCTGAAATGTTCACTCTCGTTCCATTATTGGGAATGGTGACTAACACCTACTTTAGAGCAAAGACAAGGTCTGGTTAGAGTTAGAAATCAGAACCTCCATGCTTCCTCCAGCCAGCTCTCCAGAGTCCTGGTCTCTTCCTCTCTTCCTCCCCACTCTCTCCATCTCTTCCTTCCCTCTCCCTCCCTCCCTTTCTCTGTCTATCCCTTTCTCCAACCCTTCCCTTCGTCCTCTTCCCTCTCCATATTTCTATCAACTCCCCTCTTTAAAATCTTCCTAATCTTATGTTATATACATTCAAATCTCCCCATTTTAGCATAATATCCTTTCAGATTTAATTTTTGTTTTATTTGGTTTTTTTTCCTTGAGATCATGCTATGTAGCCAAGGCTAGACTGGTCTCTAACACCTGATTCTCCTGCCTCAGCATCTCAAGTGATGGGATCACAATGCTCTGATTTGACATTTATTTTGGCCAAATAAAAACCATAAAAAAAATTAAAAACCAATTAATGGAGATGAGAAAAGAAAATCACATTCTAACACAAATAATTTTACAGCTGGTAGAAATTAAACATGACAAAACATAGCCCCTAATTTTATACATCCCATTTTCCAAAATGTAAATCTCTCCATCTTGAATTTACATAGTACTTGCACTTACATGAAAATGAGAAAAGTATAATCCTGGGCTGGTTCTCTATCATTATTGCTTCCTCATCCTCCCGCTCCTTCTTCTCTCTTTTTTTTTTTTTTTCCAGACAGGATCTCATGTTTCTCAGGTTAGATTCACATTCACTACATAGCTGAGGATGACCCTGAACTTCTTATCTTCCTTCCTTCACTTTCCTAGTGCTAGGATTAGACATGTGCCACCATACCCTGTTTTTGCAATACTAGGGATTGAATCCAAGATTTCATCCAAGCTAGGCAAACACTCTACCAACTGAGCTACATCCCCAAGCCCCCAGTCTATCATTACTATATACTTAGCCAACTAAAATAAGCAGGCTCAGACTTACAACTTCAGGCCAATTCAAACAAGATAACAATTTAAGGGGTTCTATCTTTGAAGAGGGATAGCAAATAAACACTTGTGGGGAAGCAAATTCTATCACCTAAGATTCAAAAGAGACACAGAAAATAAAAACAAAAACAAACAAACAAAAGACAGATGACACACTGAAAGCATGCTAAGTGAAAACAGCTAGTCGCAAAGGGGCACACCTGGTTTACGGTGTATGAAATGCCCAGAACAGACAGAGGCATAAGTAAAGGCAGCAAATTGGTGGTTTCCAGAGCCTGTGGGAAGGTAGGAATGGGTGTGGGATTTCTCTTTAGGGTAATGAAAATATTCTAAAATTGGTTGTAATGATTGCATAATTTAGTGCATACTAAAAATTATTAAACTGTATATTTAATGAATGAATAAGCATGTGAGTGAGCTAGATACCAACAAATTTGTGCTTTTTTTTTTTTACCTTTATTTTTATTTTATGTGTTTGAGTGTTTTGCCTGCATGTATGCCTGTGCAGAACTTGCATGTCTGGCATCCTTGGAGGCCAGAGAGGGCATCTGATTTCCTGGGATTGGA